AAATTTTGCCAGATTCCTTTTTGAATACTGTTACTTTTAATACTATATTAATTCCATTTCTACCAGCAGGGATGAATATGCACATTTCTGCTAGCGATCAATATAATTACGCTTTTTGATTTGTCAACCTCTTAGACATAAAAGGACATGTCCTTGTTCATTTTGCTTGCATTTTTCTATGTACAAATTTGCACATTTTAAAATAGATTTGGTAGGCATTCAGAGCAGTTCTTCTCCAAATTGCTTTTATTGGGTCATTTGCCCACCTTTCTATTGTGTTTTTACCCCCTCGTGGTCAATTTATCAGAGATCTTTGCATATTATAAGTGCCTTCTGGCTTCTGAGGTGGAAGATTCCTCTACAAATCTCTCATTTGTCTGTTAACTTTGTTCATGGTATATTTGCCATATAAAAGTTTTAAGTTCATAAGTGATAAACAAACCTATCTTTTCTTTTATAGTTTCTAAGTTTTTGTTCTTGGCCACAAAGATTTTCTTCACTCCTTAACTTAGCTTGTTTATATAATCTTTTAGATTTTCTTAGAAACCTCTTAGAATTTTCAAAAAATCTTGTATTTATATTTATTATATTTTTTTCAGTACTGGGGACTGAACCCAGGGCTTCCACATTGAACTACATTCCCAGGACTTTAAAAAATTTTAAATTTTTAGACAAGGTCTCACTAGGAACCTAAACTGCCCAGGCTGGGTTCCCGGCGTGCTTGGTTACAGAGATGCACAACCATGCCCGGCTGCTGTTAGAAGTTTTAACATGAACTTTGCCTACCCGGATGTACCGGGATGATCTCTCCCGCAGTAGACCTGGCACATCACGCTCCCCTGCGAATGTCCTCCATGCCTCTGCCTCCCCTGGAGGATAGAATCCGAGCATGTATGAGACCCTGCGTGATCTGGCTCCGGCCTGTATCTGCGGTCTCGGCTCGCTGTGTGAGTCTGCTGTCTCTGATGCTCTAACCACCTCACACCAACTACAGGCCTCTGAATGAGCCACACTGCACTCAGTGAACAGAATGTGTGTGGTAACAGCTGGGAAACGCCTTTGTCCTCTGTTTCGGGTAATAACAATATACACTATATTGTTTTTTTCAAGAAGGAGAGGAGTTAATGTTTCATAAGTATCTTTGGACTGCCACACCCTAGCGTTTCCCTCTGTATGAGGGAAAGTGGAAGTAAATGATTTCTAAAGAGGTTGAGAAACTCCCGTATTTATGGTATCTAAAGAATGGTTAGGCCAGAATAAAACCTCAGAAGGTTAACCTTGTGGGCGGAGACACTGGGGCTCGGGTGCTGGCAACTGCTGTCCCAAACATTCCGCAGTCACATTTCCAGATGGCAGCGTGGTAATTCAGGACATTAGGTTGGCTTGATTTTAAGTAACTCACATGAGTCATACAAAAGCCTTTGGTCCCTTAGGCAGCTAATTAAGACACTCCCTGCCTCAAAATACTTTTCCATCTGTTTTGGTATTGTCAGAAAAAATAATAAAGAACTTACATTATGTCACAGGAAGGTGAATCTTTTTGCCCCCTATTTTGTAGTTGATATCGCCAACCAAAATTGTCACTTACGTGGAAATATGGAAGACATGCTGGATTTTTGAGAGCTGTGCAGTGGGAAATGTTGAGGCAACTTTTATTATGTCTCTTGCTTTATGACACATTTTCATAAACTTGTACCACTTGAAAGCCTATATTTGCTTTGCAGTGTCATTTCATGACTATTTTCGCCTGCCTGTCTGATGTACTTGTCGCAGTGTGCCCTCGTTTCTAGGTAAAGTGGCCTCTGTACTATGCTGGGCCGGGCCTGGGATCTTTTCTGTGTTGGTGTCTTTTGTGTTCCTAGAATGTTTTTTTCATTTTCTTTGATCACGTGCAAATTCTACGTCAATTTTAGAGCTTTTTCTTACATTTTAAAGACTTCACAGACTTGTCTTTCTCCTGGGATTTTGCTGTATTTATTTGGAGAATAATAACTTGAACCCAGGGCCTCAGTTATGGTAGGCAAATGCTCTGTTGTGGAGCCACAGCCCCAGCCTCTTGTCTTTTTCCTAAACTCTGGCAGTTTTCTAGTCAAAATTCCTATCTAAGGGGCTGGGGATTTAGCTCAGCTGCAAAAGCGCCTGCCTGGAAAGCGCAAGGTCATGAGTTCGGTTCCCGGACCGGAGAAAAACCAAAAAAAAAAAAAAAAAAAAAAAATTCCTATCTATTCTCTCCCTCTCTCTCTTCCCCTCTCTTTCTCTGTACCTACATATCTATTTGGTGATACACTTATACCTTGCTTCCTATATTTTCCTATGTGGCTTTTCATATTTTTTACATTTTTGTCCTTTCTTTCCAAGTTGTTGTAAATGCCTTAAGATAAGGAACCACGTGCATTCCCAAATTGTCATAGAACTTAGTCTTTAGCAGTACCTGATAAGTACTAGTTTATTACATATCATTTTTGGTGGATATATATTTTTCTTTTTGAGTATTCAATATTTAGATTCAATTCAATAAATGTGTTTTAAGTTATTCTCTAACCTGAGAGCTATGAATTAAAAACAGGAGGAAAAAAAGGAGAAGGAAGGAGAAGAGGAGGAGGAGAACAGAAGGGGAGAAGGAAGAGAAGGAAGTGGAAGAGGAAGGGGAAGAGGGGGGAAGAGGGGAAAAGGGAAGAGAAGGAGGAGGAAAAAGAGAAGAGGAGGAGGAGGAGGGAAGGGAGAAGGAGAATAAGAATATGTGGGTTCTCTTTCCCATGTGGTAGTGGGGAGCAGTATAGTGGGGAGGGGTAAGGGATCGGTAGCCAGAGCTGTGGAAGAAGTGCACAGAATCAATTCTGGTAGATTCTAGACCACGAATTCTGGACCACGAGGCCAAGGCTATGGTGTACAAGTAGCAGCAGCAACTCCTGGAAAAGAATAACTGGGAGAAGTAGTAAAACTAACACAGTTTTTTGAAATTTTTGAGCTTGTGTGTTGGGCCCATAGACTATGGTCCATATTCTTGATGTAACATTGTGGGAAACCTACTACATCCGTGATCTTACTTGTAGGCATAAGAAGACACTGTAATAGACAATGTTTTGTCATGTCTTCTAATTTTCATATTTTAAATTCAACAAAATTATTTATCTAGTAAGGATAAACCAACATGATATCAAAAATAGTCTCAGTGTACCAAGGGAAGGTTTTCAATTATTTTAAAAATAGTACTGGGCAAGCACTGTGTACTGAAGGAGCTGAACTTTATTTGGCATGCTGTGTGGCTGGAATTACAAACTTCTGTTGAACTAAGATGTGAACTTAATAAGTAAGCTCCCAGAGTAACCCTCTTTTATGTAACAGTTAAGTGATAAGTTGACTGAAGACTTTTTGGAAAGTGTCAGAATATGACAACAGGACAAAATAGATTCAGCCTGGTCTTCTTTATTCAACATTTACAACTTTAATGGAAAAGAACAGAGTTCATAAGTAACTTTTGAGTGATCAACAAAGTACTATTTAGTAAATTTTTGGAGTTCTGTATTTTACTGGTTATCTAATGACTATCATGGGAAAGTCTTGGCCCACCAGGGTGCCTATGAAATCCTTTCATGAGAAGGGAATGACTTCAGCCTGCACTGGTAAAATAAGAGGATCTGACTTGAGGGTTTCTTTTTCTTTCTATGTTGTCTTTCTGATTTATTCTGTCACCTCTTCCAAAAAGATTACAGGGGTATTTTTCATCTGAAGAAGTCTAGTTTATAAAATATAAAAAACAAAACATCTACAGCTTAGAGCCAGCACAGTGTCTGAAATAACAAACAAAATAACTCAATTCCACCCAAGGATAAGTCACACTCAAGTAGGACTGCAAACTCGAATGTCCACAGAGACTGGGCAGGTGGTCCTCTTTCTACTCTGCACAATGTCTTTTGCAAAACTAGTGCTTAAAGCCATGGCCATTTTATAAAATGATTTTGTGGGGCAGGAATTTGGGCAGAGCTCATCCCAGGGGTTCTTCTGGCCAGTGATGCCCATGTGGGTTTGGTGGTATTCAGCTGTCAGACTGACTGATCTGAGGGCGCAGGACAGCTTCCCTCCCATGCGGTGCTCCTAGGCGGGGACGGCTGGAGCTGGGCCTATGCCTACATCAGGCCCCTCTAGCAAGCAGGGTCAGGCCGGTTGGACATCTCACATGGTAAATCATGACGTGGACAAAGAATGTTCCGGGAGACTTGGATGGAAGCTTCCAGCCATTTATGATCTGGCCTCGCAGTCCCAGAACATTTCTTCTAGTGCATTTTCTGGGTAACACAAACACCAAGCCCAGATTCAAGGGGGGAATGAACTAAACTTTAGCTCTCAGTGAGAGGGGAAGCAAAGGGCTTGAGACTCTATTTTAAAATGATTTTTTCATATATATATTTATATATTTACATATGTACATTTATATATATATTTACATATATATTTATGTATATCCTTTACTCTTAAGGCAAAAGAGTACAGTATGTATTTGTGGCAGGATATATGAGAGACTGTTAAGTATTAGCCCTGAAGCATGAAACTATGACTCCAGGCTGGGAGGGAGACTTTTACTTTTCATTTTATTTCACTGTAATTCAAGGTTTTTGCCATTTGTGTATATGACTTGAGAATTTTTTGAGAATTAGTTTAATATGCAAATAAATTAGAGAATAATAAATATTATTCAATAATAAATATTAATAAATTTCAATAGTATTTTAAATGTAATATTAAAAGTATTAATAATAAACATTGGAGAATAAATATCTCTAATAAATTAGAGAATAATAAAGGTAATCTATAGGATTTTTTTTTAGTATTGTTACTATTTCCTTTCTAAGGTGTCTATACAGATCAGAACTGTCTGCAATAGTATTTTAGATTCACAGCTATACAAGAACTAACTGTGGACTATTTTTTGTGCACCAGCTTGGATTTGGAGATAAAAGAATATATTTAATTATGAATAATTTATAAAGAAAACCTGTTTCTAGAAATAACATAGATCAAAGTCAGTGCTTCATTTCAACTCATGATTTAATTCATCTTGGAGCTCTCTTTCTGAAAGATAATGAGCTACAAGTTTTAATTTTAAAAAACCCACCAGATCATTGTGCTGTTAGGACCGTTATCATTGTCTTCCCCAGCCTGATCCTCATGGTCCTTACTGAAATGTGTTAAATGTTTTTAGTGAGATCATTTCACAGCAGCATTTGGTTAAAATACATACGGAAACTCTTTTTAATACCAATGCCTTCTGGAGAGACAGACAGATTTTGTCCTAAGGAAACTGGATTTTTCCATAAAAGAATATTGTACAATTATTCCCAAATTCAAGGGTAATATCCTAAACCCAAAGGCTTTATTCTTTACTTTTGGATTTGTGTTACATATGTGGATCTCAAACTGGATATAATTTTAGTGACTCATTCAAGCCCTCTCAATTTACAGATAAAAAAGTTTACCTTGTTAAATTCTTTCAAGATAATGGCTCTTACACTTGAGTACACATCACAGTTACGCTGATGGCTTATTAAACACAGATTGCTGGCTCCATCTCCCAAGTTTCTGATTTTGTGGGTTGAGGTGGGGTCTGAGAATCTGCCTTTCCAACAAGTTTCTGGGTAATCCTAATGCTTTGGGCTTGAGGATCACAATTTGACAACCACTATTTTAATGTAACTCCTTCTCTGGAGGGTTTCTTTTCCTCTTTTAGGTAAAACTGTCAAATGTGCTGTTTTTATATTTTTTTAACTTGATCATTACTTAACTGGACTCTGTATGTTTCTCTATTTCAACTTTCTAAGAAAAACACACATACCCCTGACGTTTTCTCTAAGTTGGTCCCATTTTTCTTTAAATTTTGGATCGCTAAGACTGAAAGTTCTGCCACAAATAGTCACAAAGATGAACACCAATTAACCTGTTCTCTGTTCTTGCTCATGTGCTTCGCTCTAATCCGTGGAGCTCACCCTCTTGTAGGTGTTTGAGAATAGGCTCAGGTACACTTCATGTTCAGATCTACGTTTTGATGTGTCACATAAGATATCTCTTGAGATTCCTGTGGTTTGCTGTGCTGAGCATGACTCGACTTGAAGGTTTTGAATGACTACTGCCTTAAACAGAATAAGCCTTCCTTGGTGACCCATTGGAAACAGGTTTGTGATCATCCTTTGTTCCACAGGAGCAATTGTCTTCACATCAACACATTAATGTATTTTGAAAATGAGCCCAAGGCTATAAATAAATAAAGCAGATGAGGGTTGAATTGCTCAGGTATTGCCCCAAAGGAGAGAGAGTATAAAAGGAGAGAGCACAGTGCGATTCGAGGCAGCCCACTTCTTTCAAACTTACGCAGCGCCTGCTCTGTAACAAAGACCAGGCTGGGCCTCTGACCACACACACCCTGCACACTCTGGCCAGCGTGCATCCTCATTCACCCTGATGTGCTGCCATTTAAGAAACGACTTTAAAATACCTACTTCTGATATCTGTCCCAAGACTATTGTGGCATCCTGCCTTGTCTTAGTTGGCTTGGGTTTCCATAACAAGATACCTTGTTAAATTCTTTCAAGGTAATGGCTCTTACACTTGAGTAGTTTAGACAACAAACATATTTTTCTCACAGTCCTGGGGTCTGCAAAGTCCAAGATCAAGGTCTAGAAAGGTTTGGTTTTTAGCACAAGCTCTCGTTCCGCTCTGCAGATGGCCTCCTTCTTGCTGTGTATTTACACGGCTTTTCTTAGTGTGTGTACGTGGTGGGGGAGATAGGAAATGAGGGCACTGATCCCATCAGGAGGGCCCAGCTTCATGACCTCATCTAGCCATAGTCACCTCACAAGGGTTCCACCCCCAAACTCCGTTCCACTGGGGTTTCAGGCTTCAGCATAAGAATTTGGGGGATACAAGCTTGTCAGCCTATAAGGTGCCTATTGTTTGCTTAGCCAGTTCCAGAGTTAGCGATCACTGCTCATCATGCCTCTCCTCACTGATGTTCCCCCTTCTTTGGGATTTGTCTCACGCTGTCATCAGCGCTGTTTTGGAGCAAGAAGCAATGAGTGGTTTTATTGGGCTCTTAAATGAGCATCCTCAGCTACTGCCCTTGCCAGAAGCTTCTCGGATAAATTTAATTAGCACAGATTTAGGGCCTGCTTTTTCTTGATTCTAATTTCCCAAGTAGTTTCTTGAGTTCAGTATTGATTCCTGTTTTACAATAACATGACTATTGTCCAGATAGAAAACCCTGGAAGATAGTTTTTCTAAGTGCATCTTGAAATGAATCTGAAAATGCGAGAGTTTCTTTAGGCATTTTTGGGGGTTGTGATCCATGGAGTGATCCTGTACTTGTGTTCTACAAATTGACAGCAGAAAAGTATTACAGACATCACACACTGTACATCTAAACTTTATTGAACTATTTAAGCAATATCTTTTCTGTTAAACTGGAAATCTTAAAAGTTAGTATAAAAGAGTTGCTACAGTGTCACAAATTGGTTATTCTGATGAGGCCGTTTTTACAAGTAAAAAGAATTAAAAATGGAGACATAAGAAAGAGACAAAGAATAGAGGCAGGAACCACATGCTAACGACTTTAAAATTGAAGATAGTTTTCTTTGTGGAAAAAGACCTATACCTCTCCCCAAATGTTCACCTCATACTTCCTTGCATCACTGAGAATTCTGTATCCTTTAATTTCAACAGAAAACCAAGCCCTTGATGACAGAATTCTCGGTAAAGTCCACCATTATTTCTCGTTATGCCTTCACCACGGTTTCCTGCAAAATGCTGAACAGAGCTTCTGAGGACCAGGATTTTGAGTTCCAGATGCAGATTCCAGCTGCAGCTTTTATAACTAACTTCACCATGTAGGTGACACACTGGTTAGAGAGAGATTTCTATGTGGGTGGTCAGAGTGGGCCTGAGATGAGGTGAGGGTCATAGCCTCTTACTGAGAATTTATTTCCCATTAAGAATATGGATCCTTATATATGGCTTAGAAGGTTGCCTTCTTTCTTTCTTTCTTTCTTTCTTTCTTTCTTTCTTTCTTTCTTTCTTTCTTTCCTTCCTTCCTTCCTTCCTTCCTTCTTTTTCTTTCTTTCTTTCCTTCATTCTTTCTTTTCTTTCTTTCCTTCCTTCCTTCCTTCCTTCTTTCCTTTCTTCCTTCCTTCTTTCCTTCCCTTTTCCTTTTTCCTTCCTTTTTCTCCTTTTTTCCCTTTCCATTCTCTTTTGTTCTAGTCTTCCCTCCTTCCTTTCCTTTTTCTTTTCCTCCATCCTGGTCCAGTCTGGGCCAGGTACTCTTCAAGAGGATTGGTAAACTTCTATTAAAAAAGTTTCTTTGCTCCAGAAATTCTAGTGGGGAGAAATTGTCAATGAATTAATAGATTAACAAAGGAGATAATTTTAGACAGTAGTAAATGTAACAGTATAAAGATAGCAAATAGGATCTAGAGCAACTTTCATAGCAGGGAAAGCAGGGAGATGCCTTGAACCATGGTTGAATGGAGACCTGAGCAAATAGCACGAAACCCTTGATATACTAAGTTGAATATATTTCCTCTTTTTCTGGTCCAAGAGATAAAGATAAACAAAACAGGGTAGGTGTTTGGGTTTAGGTTTTGGTGTGGGCAAGATTTAAGTTGGAGAATCTTCATGAAAGTTTAAAGAGATCTTGTGATTTTTCTACTGGAGAATCATAGAGGCTCCTGGCTGGGTCTCACCATTTGGACCTGTTGAAAATTGCCCTAGAGTGAAATGAATGATTCAAGGCTGGTGCTTCAATCTGGAATGCACCCTCTCTGCATATCCAAGAGGCAAATAAAACTGTTTTCTGGGGTTGCCATGGTTTTGAACTCCATGTTTGAATTTGTCTTGGAACTGCGTGCTGTTAACACAGCTGTCTCTTGGGTTTCAGGCTTATTGGAGACAAGGTATATCAGGGTGAGATTACAGAAAGAGGAAAGAAGAACGGGGATAGGGTAAAGGAGAAAAGGAATAAAACCACAGAGGATAGTGGGTAAGTATTGTTTAATTAAGGGGTTCAAATCCAATGAAGCAAAGTGTCACACTTTCTGCCCCTTTGCCTGCTTAGCTTTTCATTTTCTCCAAATATTTTTATTTTTGATTCAAATAATAAATATATCTTATTAACAGTATAGTAGATAAACATGTATAATAAAAGAGAAAATCTTCCTCTGCCTGTTGCTTAGTTTTCCCTAACAACATTTGCTTCTAATATTTCTGGTCTTCTTTGTAATTACCTAACTCTAACTTGTACAATAATGTTGCTTTTTCTTGATTTCTTAATAAAAATAAGATATTATTTGTTGACCCTTTTCTGTGAAGGAAGAGCATTTAGTAAATTTATAATAGTTCTGTCACTGCATTCTACATTTTTATATTATTTTATTTCTTCTTCCATCAGTAAAGAGTTTAGAATATTTTAACTACCCGTAGTTTCTTAAGTGATCACAGTCTACCTTTCACTCTGACTCTCTTATTTCCTGTGAGCATCTTTTGTAATGTAATCATTTATGTTCACACAGTCAGTTATTAACATTTCAATTCTAGTCTGTAATGATCCTTGCAGTCTGTCTCTAGCCTGAACCTGAACATTTAAAAATCAATAAATAGTATTTGTTTTCAATGACTGTGTAAATCACATTAACTGCAGAGCCATCTGGTACACTAATGTGTACCAGCCCAACATGAAGGTCTCTATTCTCTTTGCAGAAAAGTGACTTAGATAGTGGTGTGATCTCATAAACCTGATTTTGTTCTTTAATAAAAGAGCAGAGCTTCGAGCTAGTTCTCTAAAATCATAGTCCATCAAAATTGCGCTGTTGGATCTTGTTAGTTAGTGAGAATGCAGTATCTCACTCTTGCCTGGAGGACCTGAGCTGTGGGTTTGCTTTGACACAGAAAAGCATCAGAGGTCCCTAGCATCAGAAAGAGCTTTTCAGACACAACATTCCACATGTATCTTAGTGCTACAGCTGCCAGAGACACAGAATCCTAAGTCTTGTTCAAGGTACAGGCTGACATTCATGGCTTTACACACAGCCCTGCTTTGCTTCCACCCTGTCCAGACACTGCTTCCTTGAACTTTTGCTTGACTACACTCCGCCCTTCCCCCAGCCCTGTAATAACCCTGTCTCTTCCTTTGTTTGATGAGATGCCTCGGTATGTGGTCTCCCTTGCTGCAGCAAATTATTAAAACCTCACTTTGTTGAGTTACAGCTCTGTGCCAAGTTGTCTGCATTGAAATTATTCAGAATCATGCCACAGTTTAGTTGAGTTTTACCGTAATGGGTTTATCTGTCACTTCTTTTTCATTCATTTTGTGTGGTGCCCAGTGAAACTTTCCCATCTTAATATCTGTATCTTTTTAGGTTCCTGGAAAGAGGAATACAGGAAGCCTGTCAGCTTAGTTATTCATTCATACGTGGGCTTGGAATGATCTTCCTTTATTTGGTGCCCTGTCTCACTTCTGAACTCACAGAACCCACAGAACCCACAGTCTGCAGTTTCTCTGAGAGTCTTCTAACAGCTTCTTCCAGCGTGTTCTGGGCTCAGGCGTTCTTTCTCTGTGCAGTCTCCATCTTCGAAACTTTCTGCACTGTCTTCTACGCTAAGAGCCGCCCCTCCCACCCTTAATCTTTGGCGGTCAGTCTGCCATCTTGCCTCAGAGAGCTCCAACTACTGAAAGCATTTGGAATAGTTGGTATTTTGTAAGTGTTATTGACAAACCCGTAGCCAACCTTATAGAAAAAAGAAAAGAAAAAACTCAAATTCATGCAATAAGGAATGAAAAGGGTGAAATCACTACAGATCCTATAGAAATTCAAAAGCTCATCAATACCTACTTTGAAAATCTTACTCCCGTAGGATAAAAAACTCAGAAGAAATGGACAGATTCCTAGATATGTACAAATTACCAGTGTTATTTCCTTTTTAGACATGTCTGCTAAATTTTACCAAGGTGCAAAAACATAATAATGTATTAGCACATAAAAGTCAGAATTCGTTAACCATCCCTGTAAAGGGCTGATCTTGATGCACAGCTGGACTCCAAAGCTCCCTCTCCTAAGTCCACCCTCTTAACCACCCACTTCCCAGGGATCTGTCCCAGGGCCAGGCAGAGGGGCCCTCAGTCTTTTTTTTTTTTTTTTTTCCGGTACGGGGAATCAAACTCACTACCTTGCGCTTGTCAGGCAGGCGCTTTTGCCACTGAGCTAAATCCCCAGCCCCAAATGAAGCTGGCATTTTTTAAAGTCCCCCGCCCCGCCCCGCCCCGCCCCGCCCCATACTGGGAATCGAACTTACGACCTCGCGTTTGCCAGGCAGGCGCTGTGCGGCTGAGCTAAATCCCCAGCCCCTCCCTCAATCTTTGAATTCTCCGCTCTTCAGGATCCTTGGGTGCTTGGTAACCATCCTCTAGCTCTGGTCTTTGCTTCTTCCAGAACTAACTTATTTTCCTTTCTAAGAATGCACCCTGCCTCCCATGGGCCTTCCTGGCACGCTGGTGTCCAGCAGGTGTCTGCGGGCACAAGGGAGCTTGCTTTTCTCGTTCTGAGCCCTACCTGCAGCGCCTTTTGTCCCCCTGACAGGGCTGAGGGCACCGACACCTTCAGAGCCTCTCTGGTGATTCCCAGCAAGGACAAGGCCGCCTTCCTCCTGAGTTACGAGGAGCTCCTGCAGAGGCGCCTGGGCAAGTACGAGCACAGCATCAGCGTGCGGCCGCAGCAGCTGGTGGGGAGGCTGACGGTGGACGTGACGGTGCTGGAGAGCTCGGGCCTCGTGGCCCTGCAGGTGCTGCCGCTGCGCCGCAGCAGGCAGAAGGGCGGCGCGCGGGCGGACGGTGAGTCCTGGGCGGCACAGGGTTGTGACTTCTCCGGGCGGCCGCAGGCTGCGGAGAAAGCCCCACAACACACAGCAGCCTTCAACCAAGGCTTTGAGTTTCTGCGGAAACTGGAAAGACAGCAACAAAGCAAACATAGTGTCTTGTACAGTTTTATTTTTAAAGAGCTAGGTCTATGAGGAGACTGAAGGAATGAATGTTTTTAAACTGAGATAGAAATCCCGCTCTGGGGAATCTGTCCGGCGAAGCATTTAAACATTGTGGATGTTACGTACAGGAACCTGCCTGATAATATTTTGTAGTATGTAATAAAAATATTCCATCAGCATAAATATTCAACAATATGGAAGGCATTAGTAAAATACACTGATAAAAACAACTTGGCACGTGACCACAAAAAAACAAAATTGTACATACAGTATAAAGTCAAATATGTTAATTATGTTAAATACAAAATAAAAGATAAAAGGTAAAAGATAAAAAATTCTATGAAATAGTTATATCACGGGCATAGATGGAATTATAGGATTGCCTCCTAAAAATTTGTTTTTCAACATTCAACAATGTTACAGGCTTTGTGTGTGTGTGTGTGTGTGTAGCTGGGGCTTGAACTCAGTCTTCTGCATGGTAGGTACCTACTCTACTATGGAGCTGTGTCACTAGCCCCTTTTCCTTAAATTAAAAAATGAAAAATATGTACTTTAGATTTGATTTAAGATACGGACATTTTGGTTCATTAGCAAAATCACCGAGTTTAGGTTTTTCTCAAATTCTGATTTTTAAAATAGAATTTCATTTATCAAAATGATTATGAAACAGTCAATATAGTCTAGTCTTAATCACCAGTATTTTAAACTAAGTTCATATTAAATGTTTTCTTGTTTTGGGTACTATGATTAATATACCAGTAAGGATTAATGTCAAATGGATGATGAGGCAGATAGATTAAACCTTGTACAAGGACTGGAATGTCATCGTTTCAGTTAACTGTGATGTTTTGGGCAGGGAAATGGTAAATGATGGCCAAGGAAGAGAAATGTGCAGAATCTGAACAGAGAGAGATTGTAGAGCAGGCTGGAGGAGCTTCATGGACAAAGATGCCTGTCGAGAAGACCGGAAGGAGAAAAGGGAAATGGTTAGACAAGTGGAATAAGACAGTGTGGGTATTTAACGTAGAGCAAAATATATGTAAGGCTTGGAGCTGGTATGCGGAAGAGCAAACAGTCTGGAAGAAATGCTTCCTCACCCAGCGTACCGTTTAGCTAATGACTTTGCATGTGAGGGGTTGTTCACCCTCAAAGGCTAAGTGTCCCTTGCCTCTGCGTAGATTCAAGTCCTTTGCTACATGTGGACACCTAAAGCTGGACTTGACACTTGCAATCCATATCTAACTGAGAAAACAAAATTATAGCCAAGGGCTCGGCCTTCAGAAATAACATGAGATACAACACACTGGTCTTTTACTTTTTATGGAAAAAATACACCAGTCTTGAATGATGTTGGTGGTATTTATATTGTTAATGGATTTTAGCTCAGTTATTGACCATTATCTTGAAAGAAATTGCTGCAATCACGTAAGACCAGTTGCACATCTGTAAAACAGGTATGATTGCTATCTTATATGGTCATGGTGAAGTATTAGTGGGTATAAAGCAACTGGCCCAGATTAAGAGCTTAATGATTGCTAAATATTATTATTACTACTATCATTTTTATGATCACCTGTTTGCTTTTTCCTATGAGAATGTTATAAGATCATAGTGCCTTTGCAGGCAGGAAGAGTCTCATTACCTTTGTCTCCTTGTGGAATTTAATTCAGTGCCTTTTAAATAGCCCATCACTAACTGAGTGTCTTCAAATCTGAGAAGAAAAGCAAATACACGCATGCACACACACATTGGAGAATGTTTTAAAATTTCATTTCTCTCCAATTATAATCTAAAGGGAAATTTTCCCATATAAAACCATAGAAAAGTAGTATTTTTTGCAGAGAGAAGAAGGCAGTCAGAGTTGGCAGGATCTCGCGGGAGGACAGGGTATCGGGAGTTATGTCAGGGGTGAATGTTTAGGGACGGTAAACCTGTTTGTAGGAAGGAGGTTCTGAGGGCACCCACACTGTAGAATGAAATGCATGTGCTTTGCCTAATTTTCAAACTACTGTGGTTCTCCAGAGCTGTGTGCATGTTGTGGAGTGTATTTATGTGTTTTGTGTTGCATTACAGTTGTTGGCTGAAAAGTTGCTTACTGTTTATATTCAGTGCCTGTTACTATCTCAGAGGAATGTTTCCGGACTATTGATCTCCTGGGATCTGTTTATTTTTAAGAAGATTGTTTTCCTAACTCTTTGTACCAGAGCAGATCCTTTTCCTTCCAGAATGTGGAGATTTCACAAGTGTTTCCCAGAGCCCAGTGCGGGGGACTAATTCCCTCTTTGCTACTTCTATTTCCATCTTTTTTTTTGCTCAGCTGGTATTATTCCTGCAAAATGGTAGCCTCAGCCATGTGCAGCACAGGATGTTATGATTTTGTCTGGACACCACAGCATGTTTCCAAAAGAAATTCAGGGTAGAGATCAAACTAAGGTTGGGCTTGCAACAGACATGCGCTGTAGCTGTGTGTAAGTGGCCCAGGCCACCTGCGTCTGGCTGGGGTTAAGAAATCAGACTTCTGCCAATTGTCTAAGCAAATCTCTGACCACCGGAGTCACTTTCATCCTAAGGGATGCAATTCTGGGTAAGGACTACTATGTGTTAGGTACTAGACTAAGCACTTTGCATATAGTGCTGTCTCACTCAATCTTTGTGATAACCCTCTTAGGTTATATTTTTCATCCTCATTTTACTTATGATGAAGCTACAGTTTGCTGAGGGTCAGAAATATGGATGGCATCTCATATCTATTTATTACTAGAAACAAAATGTAAGAGTAGATCGATCTGACTCCGAGTTCATGTCCTTACCTTCTCACTAAGTAGAAGACTGAAAATTGTATGAATTCAAATTCTAAGTCACTTCATAGTTAAATATAAAAATAAAGACAGGCTAGTAATCAGTATAATCTATTTTTGCCTCAATTTACTTGCCTGGTGGGTCAGAATTGGATCCCTGTCTATTGACTTCTTATCAGTGTGACAGTCAATTTTGTGAGATATAACTTGGAAGCTAAAGCGTTATAATTTCTATATTATTAAAATAGTAAACACATGTAGATGGCTCAAAGATCTACAGGCTTTCAAATTGGTACAGTAAAGACAAGACTCCCTCTCTGTTCTGTCCTCCTGCAGTCCACTCTCTTAGTCCTTCTCCCTTAAGATATTCTGACGCATTGTGGGTTCGGTGGAGCAGGGTATGGCCACACATCGCTTAATGATGGGAATGTCCTGAGATCTCTCTCTTTAAGCTATTTGTCATTATTTGAACATCAAAGAGCATCCTTGCACAGCCTAGGTCAGTCACATTCCATGTAGAAGAGATGTATGAGGCTGCTTCCAGAGCAATATAGCATGCTGTTTTACAGTGAAAGTCTTTTTAAAGGAGAAGGAATATACTCTAAAATAATGGTAAAAGTATAGTACAGTAAACAGTAGATTTGTAAGCCAGAAGCATAGCTATTTATTTTCATTATCAAGTAGTATGTACCATATATAATTGTATGGGAGGGTGATACAATATACAATGAATGTTTATTAAACTGTATTACAGTAAAACATACTTTCCATTAATAGTCTTCAAAATACTTTGCTTTGAACACACTTATCCAATCATTCTTGCTACTTTTTGAAGCGGTTCTAGAAGCCCTCCTCCATGCGTGTCTTTATGAATTGTGATCAAAACTGTAGTGCACGCTGCTGCTGAGTGCCATCCAGTGGAAAGGCGGGCTCATAAAAACGTTACGGTGTGTCCTCATTCACCTTTTTCACCAGATCTGTCACTGTGCAACTTCTGGCTCTTTCCCATGTCAAAATTACTGTGAAAGGTAAATGTTTTAAATTGATTCAGTACATTTAGGCAGCCAAGACAGTGCAACTAGACACTCATGAAAGAGGATTTCCAGAACTGCTTAGGAAAGTGGCAAGAATGATGGGATGAGTGCATTCAACGCAAAGGGGAGTATTTTAAAGGGGATTAGTAGTAATCTGTCTTTTACTATAATAAATTTTTGAATTTAAACATTTGCCACAGTTTTCTGTCACACCTCCTTGTGCTATGTTTCCATGTATGTGGCAGTGCGTAGGTGTGTTTATGGCAGGGTCACCACAAACATGTGGGTAATGAGTTGTACTTGACATGATGACAGTCTTGACCTTACTAGGTGATAGGAAATTTCCAGCTCCCTTAGAATCTTTACAGAACCTCTGCAAATGTGGTCCATCATTGGCCAGAATGTCATTACACAGCACACATCTTTACCTGAAATGAAGCATTTCCTAGAATGTCACAGGGATGCATGATCTTCTGTAGACACAGATGAAACAGATGTTCCAGCGGTGCTATTGGAACAAGGCTGGCTATCCCACTGTCTATCATTATGATTTTATCTTATAAGCTTCCTTCTACCCCACATTTGGCACCTAAATTACTATTCTGGCTATGATTATCATTGTTTTTGGTGGAAAATTTTAATTTATGACTAGATCTTTGATGACTAGTGATAAGATAAAATGGGACAAAATGAGATAAAATGGGAAATGAGATACCTATCCTTTTTTATTACACCTTTGGTTTTCCATCAGTGACTCTCAAACCTAACTATATCCAAGTATAGCCTGGACAGGTAGAAAAAGAAATGCATATGGTGACTCCCACCTCAGATGAGTGACTTAGCGTGGACTGGGGTGGGGTTCAGGGAGCTGTTTGGGGGTGTAATATTCTGTAGGTGTCTATGAAAAGCTTTAAGAATTTAAAAAAATTTAGTTCTTCACAAGTTTAAAGGATAATGTGGAGTAATTTTTCTGCCACAGAGTAGGCACGATTCTACAACTTTATCCTTTATATTCTTTG